CTGCGGCTAGGGCACAATCGGGAATCAGAGAGAGAGATGGGTTTATGATTAATGGTTTCGGGGTTTTTAGCACTTTTAAGCGCTAAAACCCGCTATTTTGCGCTACAGACCGCTTTTTGAGCAAAAGGCGGTTTTCTCCGCCAAAACACCCTGCTATCCCCTTATCAGCGCGGTGAAGCACCGCGACCGCGATTAGCGGCGCTATAGCGGCGTGATTTGCCACTTTTTACAACACTGCTTTTTACCATTAAATTTGTAGTTCATGTTTCCTTTTTATGGTCTATTCATATTTCTTATAATTGTTAAATTCTTTATGTTGCAGGCCTCCTCTGTTAACCGTATATTAAAGAAAATTAAGTTAAAATTCACCAATGCGTGGTTATCTTTTCTAAGGTTGCCACTTCCTCTTGATATATACAAAGAGGTAACTCCTGGAACATCCTTTTAATGTTACTTTTTCTATATATGCTGTTTCAAACCGATACTTTTATTTATTTTCTGTAATCAAAATTTAATTGTGTCAAATATCATTGTTCATGCAATTCTATGAATTGTCGCCTTCTCTCTCGTCAAAAGCTTCTGCATTTTGCTTTCCCCGTATTTATTATGATGTAGAAATGGAAGCATATAGCTTTTAGGGAGCCAAAAGGTTTTTTACTTCTCATAAGAGCATGAATGAATGGCTTTTTGCCATATTTTTTTGTCCTTTGGTTCCCACTGGTCTCAAATAACATTTTTGAAGTTTATCTGAATGTGAGCCAAATTCGTAAGCCTAATTTTCCCCTTTCCTTTTTAGCTCTTATTCTGCTTTTTCTATGATTTCGGTTTTACTTTAGAGCTTTATCTTATACTTACCTTCATTTTGAAGGAGAAAGCATATTTCTTAAGGTTTTGCATACTTAAAGGTATTCACATTGGTTCTACCTTGCTCTTGTCTAGGGACATATTTTGTTATCTTTCTAATACTTCAGACATAATTGTTAACATGGAAGGTGTTCCAAGAGATCTTTTTTCTTAATGTTGTGACTTCTGCAGTTTTACTCGATTGCATGAGAGCATAAACTGCAGACTCAGTAAAATATCCTACTTACTTCCTGGTCTTTACTGCCTCATGGCTATACCCTTTATTTTCTGTATTTTCAATCTACCATTTTAGAGGGTTGAAATCAAGTTATTAAACAGTTGTAAAACATGATAAATTCCTATTTTGATGTGAGAAGCGTAGGATACTTCTATGGAGATTGTGATGATAATGTTTGTTTGGATATTCTTGCTAATGAAACAAGTTGTGTTTCTTTTATTTTTCTAATTCTTGTCGTATTTTTAGATTCTTGTTTAACTGTCATTTTAAATGTCAGGTTCTGGCGACTCTTCATCAGAATGTACTCCCTTACATGGCAAATCCTGCAATCTTGTGGTAAGAAATACGCTAGACCTTCTATTGTTTAATGTAGCTGTATATTCTGCCACCTTTCAGTTCTGATGGAAGTTCTTTCAACTTTTGCCCTTTTCCAGTGATTTCCTAACAATGTCGTATGACATCGGGGGTGTCATCAGTGTCATGGCACTTAGTGGCCTGTTTGTTCTTATGACAAAACATGGCCTTGAGTATCCTAAGTTTTATGAAAAGCTTTATGCGTTACTAACACCGGCTGTTTTTATGGCAAAACATCGGGCATTGTTTTTCCAAGTAAGTTTTATAAGCTTGTGCTATTTATTGTTTTCAAAAATGTTGATTTGCCTGCCATAGAAATATAGAAGCTCAGTGGCAAATCAACGTCAACCAGGATATTGGATGTTATATCTATGTGCTCTTAATTCTGTCGTTTTGATATTTTTTACCATATACATTGTGCATAATATTTTTTTTTAAAAATTTTGTGTAATTTCTATATTTGTGTGTTCTGAGCTCTATTTTTCTGATATATTTTGTAGCTGCTAGACACTTGTTTGAAATCTTCACATCTTCCAGCATATCTTGCTGCTGCATTTGCGAAGAGGTTGAGTCGGATGGCTCTTTCAGTGACACCATCTGGGGAGCGTCTGATCATTGCTATAATCCACAATCTACTGCGGCGGCATCCCTCAATTAATTTTTTAGTTAATAAGGTCTTTATCTTGCTTATTTGAAACTTTGTAATCATGTTAATTCCAAAGGAATCTTCTGATATTCAATATCCTGAGTACTGCAATGAATTGTCAGTTACTTCCTAGGAAATTGTTAATCTTTTTATTTCTTGCTTTCATACTGATTCTTATGGTGGATTATCTGCAGCAGGATGAAGAGGCGGATGGAGAGGCTTCTGAGGGTGGTGATAATTCTAGCCAAGATGCTGGGATCATTCGTTCTGTTGTTCAAAGCAAGAAGCATGGTATTGATCCCTTTAAAAGTGAAGAAAGTGACCCTTCTAAGTCAGATGCCATGCGTAAGTTTCTTAATTCCTTAACAAATATAACTCATAATTTGAATGGACATGTTTTGGCTTTTAGTTGCTAACTCATCTTGTTTGCTTGTACTTCTATAGTCTATTATAGTTTTTGCTCAGGTGGAATAATGTGATAGATTACGTTTCGGGCAAGCTTGTCAAGCACATACAAATTATCTGTCCCATCTGGGAGCACATAGTGGATAAATAGGTTATGCACCAATTGATTACACTGGCACAAAAATTTTAAGATACACAAATACACACACACACACATGGTAAAAATATTGAAAAAGAAAAAAAGAAGTATGAGAGAATTATTGAAAACTATTCAATTAGGAACTTTGTAGATTGTATTTATAAGCATTGAGCACTATGTGTAACTATGTAAGAATCAAATAACTCAAACAAGAAGATATTCGGCCCCATTTACGCATCCTTATTATCTATCATCTTCATAGCGAACATGAAGCAATATATGACTGCCTCAGACACACAATCAATCTTCTGAAGGCTAAATACAAGGAAAGAGATCCCTGTTGATTAATTTTCATGAGTTAATTTGTTCTAGTTCTTAATTTGTTCTAGTTCTTCATCTCGACATTAATCATTGTTTGCTTAAATTTTTTTTTTCCTTTCACCATTCTATCCATTTGACGAGGAAGGTTAGGTTCTTTGACCTCTCTTTCTTTTAAAATCTGCACCTCTCGTCTTATTTAGTATTTTAGTTGTTATCCATCCTTTTTTTATATTGTCCAGAATTTGTTGGCAAATGCGTCTATATTCCCCAGTACCCTCTATGCCACACTGACGTAAACATTACAAAGCGGATTTGCTATGCTGCTTAATGCAAATTCTAGAAGATATGTGAAGTCAAGATGTGTCTGGCACGATATTAGAATCTGATAGTTCTCTGGAATGTCACTACCTTGTTCACTATCTCGTCTCTAACAAACACTAGAATTGAAGGCCATAGGTGATGACATAATTAATTGCAGCTGCAATCAAATTTCTTAAAAAATCATGAGCATACATGAATAGGTTATTTAAAGAATTTAAGCAGAAAATATATTTTAAATCTGAATTATGCATTCAAACATAAGCTACGTCAACCTGAACCAGAACATGAAAATGCGCATAAATTCAGTCTCAAATTCTCAATTTAAGTAAATTAACTCTCAAGATTCAATTAAAATTTAATCTCATGTTATCATTTCTCAATCCAGTCTGATTTCAGTTATAGGGAAGCTGAAACCTATTTTTGTTTGATGTTTTGGGGTGCTTGATTTATCAATGTGTTCTACTGGGCAGCGGGGGAATGGAGATTTCAGATTTTAAGGAAGAATAAGATTTGTGCGGCCAACCCAAAAGCTATGAATAAAGGCTTTGTTGTTGTTCTTGTAATTAAGGAAAAAACTGTACTTCCACTGTTCTTTGTCATCATAACGTTTTTTTTGGGTGGTAAATGAATGAATTCCATTAACCAAATTAGCGTTAAGTACATATACATATCCAGGTATTCCTGGGAACAAAACTCTTTTAGAACAGAAAATGCTCTACATTACAGAGCATCTCTAAACAACCAAAAAGACACCATACAAGTCAACTCCACACAGAAAGCACTCAAAAACAAAACTCCAAAACCAGCCTTGTGGAGACTGAAACCATCCTTCTAATCACCAAGACATAGTAGAAAGCCATACCTCAGCAGCAAACTCACATTCAAAAGACAAATGGTCATGGCTCTCTGGGGCTTTCTCACATACCAAAGACATAGTATCATTCGTAACACCAAATTGATTCAACCTATCAAGAGTTAAAAAGCCTGTGTGGCGTCGCCAACCAAAGCACAAATGTATACTATGGAATATTGATCTTTCCCCAAACATTTACAAGTATAAAAATAGCATTGTCCCTGGAGAACCTTACTGTCACCATTAGGCTGAAGGGCCATGGTTATTGCATAATGTTATTATGCCAGTATGACTAGTTATATTCTAAATTGCACTTTGGGCATACAAGCAACAAGGTACATGCATGACAATATATATAAGAAAATAATATTTTTCATACTTGTGTATACATGTTTTATTTACCTTACTGTATATCTGTGTACAAATTTCTTTATAGAATGTAAATTGATTATTCACAACACTGCCAACATTGCATAAATGGGCTATTGGGAACGTGTTTGCCACAGGAAGTTCCTTATGGGAAATTGATACTCTACGACATCATTACTGCCCAGCGGTATCCAGGTAACCACACCTCACCTTCTTCTGTTTTGTTGCCGGTCTTCATTTCCTTAACTTATATATGGTAATATTATTTTGTCGTCAGATTTGTTGCTTCCTTAGAGAGTGATCTGACGGTTAGGGCGAAAACCTCTGAGGTCACAGTTGCAGATTACTGTTCTGGTTCCTATGGCACATTATTCAAACAGGAGGTTTGCTTCCACGTTACTCTGCTTTTTCTATTATTTCTTATATGACTATTAGAAACATGACAGAGTTGCTCGTGGATATCTTGTATAGTGAATTGCTATGGGAAGTTGACGAGTTTTTTGAAATTTATATTTTGACAGGTTGAACGAAGAGTGAAACAGGTTCCACTTGCATTCTACAAAGCCACGCCAAACACTTTGTTTTGGGGTTCGGAGTTTCCAGGATGGTCTTTTCAAGATCCACGCGATAACAAACAAGAAGGTCAAGATGTTGATAAAGGAGTGTCTAAAACACTTGGCAAGGATCACACAGGATCTGTGAAGAGGCAACGAGTAGAATGTGTTTAATTTAAGGTTTGAGTAACGGCAAGCAAATGCTTTTCTTTGAAAGATTTTGTCAGCAAAACTGAGTTCATTGGTAATTGAGGATGTAATATGATAAAAATGAGAGAAATTAGGTGAGAAGATTCTTTTCATTATTATATATTTGTCATTTTGCTTGAAAAATGTTCCGGTGTCATATTAGTTATTGATATTACTCGGTCTGACATGGATGTTTGGCAGCGCAGATATACATGTTCCCAAGTTTTATAGGTCTTTTTAATTATACACACATTCCTGTAATTAATCCGGAGTTGATCATGTGAGCATTCATTATTTCGTTGTCTGGATCAGTTGTGAAATTACGGATATGGGTGCTCTTCGGGTTTTTTTTTTCTTCCAATCTTCTTCTCGTCAAACTAAGCTAGTGTTTTCATATCTACATGTTTCATATAACCTCTCAAATAAGCAAGTTTTTAGGACTCATTTTAAAAAATTAGCATTCCTAATCTTTTCAAAAATATAGCTTACAAGGTCACCTATTGACTATTTTACCGATAAATTTTAAAATAAATAACCTATCATAAAAGTCAATAGTGAAAAAAGAATAGCATAGTTCGAAAAGCTCTAAAAACGGACGTAACAAAGAGAGGCCACATCCATGAGAAGCAAGTGAAGGAAAAAGAATATTACCAACTAATTCTCTTACATTTTACATGGACCATAATAAATGTCTAACGCTCGGTCAACTAGTTAAGTACCAATGCATCCTCATCAGTACATCCTACATGAGAAGTGTGAGAACAAGAAGTATCAAAAAAGACCTCAGGGCTCCGAAGAAATGAACCGTCAAGCCTTGAACTCAACTCAACGCACCCATCAACGTGACCAGTTCTTGGACCTGACCTATTTGGGCATTGGCAGGCCAAATCCCAATGCAGTACATGCAGTACTATTCTCCAAAACCGAAGTACCAGTTCATAGGAAATCACAGGCCACAGCAGTAGTAGCAGTAGTAGTACTACTACTACTACCCTTTTTTTGCAACGTACAGTTGTACTGCCCTTTCTCCATCCCCCAAATCTTTTGGAGTTTTTAACACTATAAATTGAGATACAGATGGAGATTTCTTGAGGCAGGGAGAGGAGGTCAGTGGCGGAGCTTGGAGATATCAGTAGCAGTGGAAGGGGCATGCAGAGGAGATTATATATGTTGATATGCTTCCTATGCTTCCTCTCTCCTCTGCCTGCCCCATCCACTCCTGCTGTTATCCCCTTCACGCGTCATACTGCGGATTAATCCCGTGTCCTCCTATATTTTTTTTCCAGTTGTTTATATGTTTTTAAGTTTTTTACTTTTCGAAAAGTGTTCGTAAAGTAATACCTTAGATTCAATCTAAGGTAGAGCCTTCAAAACTACATTACATGCTACCAAATTACTCGATCCACTCCATTCGTGTTGATTTATATACAAATGAAAAATTAGGCGTACTGAATTGTAGACCCACGCATCAAGTGATTGTAAAATTAATGGTTTTACGACAATATAACTAAAGATACAATAAAAAAAATATGTAATCATCATTATTTTTATTTTGTAGATGTTTTGAGACATTTAGATCACGATGAATGGAGCGGAACATCAATTGGAATAGTCTAATCCATGAATTAAGAAGCGCTACCTTAGATAGTTAGGTTGAATCTAGGGTGCCATATTGTGAACACTTTTCCTTTTTTACTTTTAATGTTTATATGAAATGTGCATGGAGGCTGTTAAATGTAGCCACGTACTAAATGTGTTCCTTTTTAAATTGATTTTGTCGTTAAGCCTCATTTTTATTATTTTTCTTGACAATTAACATGGTTACACAAAAGTAGGATTCAGGTTGATATATATTTCACGAATAATGCTTACTGCATGACTAGAACTTTTTACTACTTTGGTACCGTCATTTCTGGCAGTGTGAGAGTAATTTGAGATGAGCACTTGGCGGTGAAATAAGCATTCATCATCTAAGTATGCTTTGTAGCCGCTTTATCACTCAAATAGGGCACTCAACAATCCTTGTAGCAAATCATAGCAATATACAGTTCATTGCATATTCTGTAGTGATACAAGATATCTTGGTTTCCAATTTATTAAGCGACTCTTTTTCATACCTAAAATTATTAGATCGGCTCTCGGCGTTATTCGAATGTAATTTGCAGATGTTTGCTAGACTCGACAACTTGCCGCCGATGCGTTAAATGGGGGATTTTTTTTTTTAAGTAAGCATGATGAGATCTCACGATTGCTTACTTTGCATATAAGCAAGCATCAGATCTCTGAGAGGCTCAACAATGTGGACCTTGCAAAAGTTGCAGTCCTCCTCAATCTTAGAACAGGGAGAGCATTTCATTAAACAACATAAGTTATCTACAAGTTAAATCAACATAAGTTTATTGATCTCAACAACATAAGTTATCTACAAGTTAAATCAATAGCTGCCACATCGAAAAAAAAAAACATAATTATCTCTCATAAAGTATTTTTAGTCATTATTCCTTTCCCCTTTCTGCTTTTGATTTTTTTGTTCCGCCCACGTTTGGTAGAGAACAGTTATTTGTGTCAGTTTCTATGAAACAATGTGGAATAGATACACAACTACACAAGTGGCTTGTGCTTGATAGAATCAGTAGAAGTCAGTATCTGCAAGGTAAATAAAAAGAAAAGGTAAGCGAATTGATATGATACAGGTAAAAAAAAATGGTGGTAAACAGGAAGTAATCAGAAAAGATGAGTCATTCATCGCCGCGTGATGATGAAGAACAACGTCGGTATCTTGGTGCTATTTTACCCTTGCTAGACTAGATAAATGGAAAATCTACATAAAGCCAATTTGGATTGCAGAAAAACTGTTGTTGTTGTTGTTTTTTTTGGGCAATGAAAAAAAAAAGAAAAAAAGAAAAAAAATTATTGTTCATATCTATATAAAGGTATACATATAGTAAATATTATTGTATAGACTTCGCTGCACTTGTATATTTGTATATAGAACTCAATGACAAAGCCCAGTCGCCCGAAGTAACTCTTCTTACATCCTAATTCCTGTGGGCATTTTTAAAATGAACATTGATAATAAGAATTAATGAGATTGATGGTTTAGAACTAACCTTCAAATTCTATTCTCAATGAACCGCACATAAATTATCTACATTTGAATCAGCAGGGTTAGCCAGTCTTAACTTCTTCAGCAAACAATTAGCGGACAGGTGCTATCCGTGCAGTTTAGCGAGACTGAGAGAAAATGAATACATTGTTAGAAGTTCATAAAAGAAAAGGCATGAATAATAAATGATACTATAAAACAAAATCAATGGAATTCAAGGTTCATCATCTTACCTACAATTTTGCGGTACCCTCCAATGGTGTTCTTTGAATCTCCTCGTTGCTGGTGGTGTAGACATAAAACTCCGCCAGTTGTCAAGCATGACTCCAAGATCATGGATCTTCCTATGCAAACCGATACAACAATTTGCATGCATGGTGCAAACCTTATTAAAATCTCTGCTTGGCTCACAAATTCCACCGAAATAAGCAGTATTCAGAAATACCATCTTTAATCCCAATTCCTTGATAAAAGGATCATATTTAATGATGTTAAGCACATCTTGGTCATGAAGCCCAGGGTGCTTCTCTCGTGATGAGTACCAAAATTTGTAAAATTCAATAGTTCGATTGTTGGACTTCACATAGTTAAATCCTCCATTTGGTCTGTTCGCTAAATCTGACTCGTCTCCTTTGAATTGATCACAAGCTATCTGAAAATCACCATCTGGATGAAACTTAGGCATTGGATTGCGGAACCACATAATATCCGTATCCTGCAGTTAAATTGCAAAAGTACACCGGCATATTCATTGCACACCATAGTTTCAGGGAAGTGTTGCGCAAGAAAACATACGAATAAAGCACATAGAAAACATGCTATGCCAAAGGAGTCATGTTTTTCCGTCGCATAACAAAAGGAATGCTACTGAAGTCTGGCTAAAGTTGCATGCAATAAATAAACTGCAGAAAGCACATAGAAAAATTGAAGGAAAAAATAAAATTGAGACACCATTTTAAAGTCAACTTCTTAAGTTTTGATATACCACTGAATGCAGTTTTCTTGTTTAACTTGAACTGCTATGCATCTTCTTGGTAAATGAATTAAAAGGAAGAAAAAAAAAGAAATACCGTGAAAATGAAGTTGTATCCCGTTTCAAGAACCAAGCGCAGGAAATCAATTCTCCTCCACATCATTTTCAAGTATCCATCTGTCATAAAATCTTTTTCTCCTGAAAAATCTTCTTTCCCTGTAACAAGGGCAAAACAATGGGGGTGAATGGAGGTGCATCGACCATATGCCTTCTTATCAAGAGTCACCATCACCAAGTGATCTAGAAGCTTCCTTGTTCCTTCACCAATGCGGAAGCTCTCTAGAAAAGTATCTAGAATTGAATTTGGTGAAGCCCAGGCTTCATTCAGAGTGGTCAGAATCACTGTTTTATCTTCCATCGCTGCTTTCTTCAACACTTTCTCCAACCTAAATCGCTCGTCCTAGAAATTATAATACATATGAGTAAACTTTCGTACTACGCATCCAATATACGTAATATATACAATTCTCATAGAAAAAGTGATATACGATAAAGAAAACCAATCTAATTCAATTATTTCGAATTTGGATCATCTCCATTATAAAAAAAAAATAGTGGAGAGAGCACTACATTTAATTCCAAATGTTGATTATCTAGTAGGTGATTGTGATAAATTTTAAATGTGACACTCACCATACCTCTGTGTATTGCACTCGTTCGTAATTTGCAGTTAATGAAAAATCATATTCATCCATTAGCAGTCCATTAGCAGTGACGGAGCCAGAACCCAAGGGATAGTGGGGACAATAAAGTATAAATAATTAAAATATTAATATGCAGATCAACTAAAATAAATTTATTAGTCCATTCTAACACTAAAAGAATTGATATTTTCCAATTGTCTTTGATGAGTTTTCATATTTTGGAATCTTTGTACAGTCAACTCGTTATTAATCGTCTCAAATACATCTCTCTCAATAAAAGTAACTAGACAATCATTCAACAGTCTTTCAATCTACTGCAAAATCAAGACTTCAAAATTTTTGATAGCTAAAATTACCCTTTCAACAATCTTTAGCAATAGATACAAGTGATGCTAACTTGACAACCAAATATACCCATGGATGAGCAAGATTCCTTTATATTTCCACCAACTTCTTTATAGGTCGATAATCCCTCTCAACTCTAAAAAGTCGTTGCTAATGCGTATGTCAACAGTGTAAGTATCCAATTGATTACCATAATTACTATGAGATTACCGGCGGAAAACTTAGTAGAATGCATGCCATGAAGCCTTCCCCCCCCACCCCCACCCCCACAACCCAAAAAAAAAAAAAAACAGACCCACCCCCACAACCCAAAAAAAAAAAAAAACAGAGAAAAAAGAATTCATTTAATTCCACAAATAGTCTGGAATGAAATTAAATTGTAAAATAGTAGTAGTCGTGTATATAAGATCAAGTCGGGTCAAAATCATAATTGGGTCATAATAATAAATGTAATATAGCGTTAGATATATTGCAATAGAAGTTTTTCAATGGGGGTATTTGCACACTGTTGTGTACGTAGTTTCACCACTGCTAATTAGATAATCAATAATTATGATTAAGTAGCGGTTCCTTCACTACTTTTTTTTAATAGCAGAGAGGACCTCATTGTTGTGATTATTTCCAGATAACATTAAAAAATATGCAGATTAAAAAAAATAAAGCTAACAGCCTAAAACTCAATTAAAAAATATGTTTTCTAAAGAGACCAATAGGATTTTAGCACTACTATACCGAGCATAGTCAAAATTTCGTTTGAACTCAGCTAATAATGTTTCTAATAGCACATTAAGTAAAGTAAAGACATTTTGTATATTGATCCCCAAGACCATCAATTTTTGTATAACACCGGAGTCTTAACATTTCCATATTGAAACCTCAAATCATTCAAAGTTGGGTAAAAGTTCACTTCCGATTACTTTCTTCTTTTACCAGCTAGAGTACTCGGAATTGTTTAAATTCTATTTAATAAATAGAGTGTATTCCTAAAATGTTAACTAATAAATGAGTATCCAAGAAACAAACAAAGAAGAGATTGCCTGACTTATAGGAGATGATCAACTTGAAAATATTAGTGCGTCAGGTTATAATATGAAAACATGAAATGTATTGGGGTCTATGTGCAGAAAAGTTACAAATTTAATGGTTTTCAACTTGGAAGAATACAACGGTTAGTTCTATACCATACAATCCAACAAGATAAACATGTACATGAATGTCTGGATAGAAAGTACTACAAAATTTCTTCTTGCAGACACAATAATTTTCATTTTAAAGCTGCAATAACCATTGCAAAGCAAACAAATTCATTTGTACACGTTTCAACTTGCTAATAGAAGTTCATAAACACAAGTATTTTGCCCGTGCTCGCATAGATGAGTCTTACATAGTGAATGTATCATAACCCCCCTCTCAACTATTTTAAATCGAGAAAACCCCCTTAAGCTTGTACATATTAGATAACCCCATCCTACTTTGAAAATTGGAGAAACACCCCCCCCCCAAACTATGGCGTGTCTCATAACCCTTCCCCCTGCCCTGCCCACCAAAACCCCCCCCCCCCAAACTATGGCGTGTCTCATAACCCTTCCCCCTGCCCTGCCCACCAAAAAAAAAAAAATCTTTCACAATGTTCTCACCAAAACCCAAAACGTTATTTCAAAATGTAAAATAACTGAAATATTCTTTTAAAAATCAACTCATTCAATTAGAAAGAAACCACCAACCGGTGAAAAATATTTTGATTAATTTACAATATCCCCCTCCCCCTCTTTCTGTAGTCGTTCTCTTATCCTAAAAAAATAAGAGTAATTTTTTATGATTGAGGTATTTTTCGTCTTTTTTCAGTCACCTACTTATCATATGTCATTGCTAGACCTAATGGTATTAGCTTTCAGGGTGAAAAGTAAGAAAAGTTCATGGTAGTTTCTCGAATTTTTAACTTGAGGGGGTATTATCGAAAATATGCTCAAACCTGAAGGCAGTTTCTTAAATTAAAATAGTTGAGAGGAGCTTTCTTAAACACACCTCATATTAAGGGGAGGTTAAGTAAGAAAAGTTTAGGGTTTTCTCAAATTTTTGTAGTTGAGGGAATTATCTACAATATATGCTCAAACTTGTGGGAGGTTTTCTCAAATTAAAATAGTTAAGGTTGTTTTCCAAAATTGATCTAAATTTTATGTAGAGAGGTTCTCTACATGAGTTTTTTCTTTAATATCTATATTTAAATATACTAGGTTTTATACACGTGCAATGCACATGGTTCAATACCATGATTAAATATTTTTGGCTTATTTTCTAACTAAAATTTATTCCTCAGTTCTACTTTAATAGTTTGTGCTCACTTTTATCTCTTAACTTTAATATTAAGATTATTTATTTTCTTTGATGTTTCTTTAAATGGGTCGCACCCAATTGAAATTTACATATTATATTTGAATTGACAGAAAATAAATATAATTTGAAGCTAATTTGAATTTTTATATTATTTTGACTGACATGAAACCAAACTTTACTTAAGAAAGTATAATGTTGTTGTAAAAGTGAAAAATATTGAAATAGTATTATACAAGAAAGGTAAATATTTAAAACCAATAAGGCAAAATGATTGATTAAAAATATTTTAAAATGATACAAAAGAGAATATAAAGTTTATTCCTAATCATTGATAGACTTCATAAAAAATTATAAACTAAAGATTAATGCTAACTCTAGTATACTTTTATATGATAAAAGCATCCACATAAACATATAAAAGTACTAAAAAAAGTTCATGAAACTCCCTTATAAAGATTCCTAATTTCACTCAAAATAATTAAACTATTTTATAAAATATTTAGAAAATATTATCTTTTATTCCTTCTATTTTATTTTTTTATTAAGCTAAGAGCAATCCTTCTTCACCTTTAATTTTTTTCCCGGGCAATTCTAAAATAGTGTTTTCATCATCTATATCGATTATGATATCAGGTTGGAGTTTTATTTTTTGTGATGTTATCTTTCCTAGGCTCGTTAATCTTTTATCTTCTCATTTAACTTCACAAAGAAGTTAAATGTATTTCCAATGTTCAACACAAACTTCTTGGATACATGCTTTGATTTTTTTCTATTTTAATAAGAATAAATATTAATATCATATATACAAAATTCTTTGTATTCCTAATTTATTACTTAAATGAGATTAGGAGCTAACTTTTTCTTCTCTACAATGAATTCTTTTAATGTGCATCGAATAAGAGTTTCTATTAAGTCAATAATATTATCTTTGTTCTATTGCTATCATTTTCCACAAAGATCTAAATTAAATACCTGCATATTTCATTACCAATTTGTCTTAGATTATAATATTAATATTTAAATTTTTTATTATTTGAAGAATAAAATATAAAATTTATGAATATATTCTAATTTTTCTTATCTCTTTCATGAAAAATTCTTCTTTGATTGGGATAAAATTATTAAATTATTCTTCAATGTAACTCAATCTTCTGCTTCTTTAATAGATATGCCTTATGTTAATGCCAATTCAAGTGATTCATAGACATTTTCTGAACTTTAGATTTATTTCCATCACTTTCCTATTTGCAATGAAAATAGCTTTATTTTTTTAAGGATATATCTGAACATTCTGATAGTTTCTTCATATGTAATTCATTATATTCTTTTATCCTATAAATATTATTAATATCAGAGATTAATGTTTCTAAATTATAATCAATTAATGCTAAGCTATTATCTTATAGTCTTTTATCATTTTTATGGATTTAAACATCTACGATTAACGTTACTAATATATTTTTGCTGCTCCAACTTATTAGTAAAATCATATGTAGCTACTTTAATTTATATAGTAACAATAATTTTAAGCTATACTATTTTTAAAAATTTTATTCCTTAACCGGATGTTTTTAATCAATTCTTATTACTTTTGTTTATCAGTATCAACATAAACTATTTTTAGATGCTAAAAATGGATAGTAAACCCTAAATTAGAAATTATATATATATATATATATATATATATATATATATATATATATATATATATATAAATATAATATGCTAAAAAAATATACTTTTCTTTGTCAAGTTTTAAAATTCAGCGCCTTTTTTGGTTTTAAACTTTAAGGTATGATTTATAATTTTTAAAACTTTGGGAGTGTTTTAAATAAATTTACCAGTATCAACTTAGACTATTTTTAGATGCTAAAATTAGATAGTAAACCCTAATTAGAACTATATATATATATATATATATATATATATATATATATATATATATAATATAATATATATATATATATTAATATATATATAAATTAAAGAATATTAAAAAATTATATTTTTCTTTGCCAAGTTTTAAAATTTTAGCTCTTTTTGTGATTTTGTACTTTGAGGGTGTGAATTATAATTTTTAAAACTTTGGGAGTGTTTTTAAAAATTTTACTTTTAAGTTTGATAGTTGTAACTTCTATATTTCATGTGTCGGTGATAATTTTTAAATGTCAGGATATTTTTTATAACTTTAAAATTTTGATGGTACTTTTTGTAATATTAAAACTATAGATAAATTTTTGAAAAATTTATATTTTAGCAGTCTACCAATAATTTTTAGATTTGATGTGCACTAGTTATAAATTCTAAAATTTTAGGATTTTTTACGATTTTTAAATTTTGAAGGAGTTTTATTTATAATTTTTGTAACTTTAAGGTTAATTTTGATAAATTTTAAATTTTTAGGTCCCTAAGGGTAATCTATTGAATTCATCTTTTCTTTTTTGCGAATTTTAAAATTTTAGAATGTTAGGGTAGTTTTTTATAATTTGAGATTTTAATGGTGTTTTTATAATTTTTGAGACATTGAGGGAGTTAATTGAAAATTTTAAATTCTTCAGAGGTTGCTGTTAATTTCTTGATTTCATATTTATTGTTTTAAGTTTTAAAATGTCAGAAATTTTTAGGTGCATCATGGTAATTCCTTGAATTTATCTATATTGTTTGTAAGTTTTGAAATTTTAGAATTTTAAGGTACTTGTTTGTAATTTAAACTTTTGAGGGTGTTTCTATAATATTTGAGACATTAAGATGTTAACTGCAAATTTTATATTCTTCGAAAACTGCTGTTAATTTCTTAATTTTGTTCTTGTTGTTTTAAGTTTTGAAACATTGGATGGTTTCTATAATTTTAAACTTTTTAGGGTATTTTGTGCAATTTTAAAACTTTTTAGGGTTTTTTGCAATACTTCATGTATAATATGTTAGCTACGTATAATTTCTTTATCTTAACAAACTAATACCATAAAGATGTTTATATATTTTGTTAATATTTTTTTTAAATTGTTAAGCTGTAGATATTTCACGTAGGATTAGGGTAGGATGTAATTAAGATTAGGATAAATTAAGATATAAATAAAATATTTAAAATAGTGAATGGTAATATTGACTATAGAAAGATTTTTTCGAACTTGTACTTTTAAAGGGAGTATGATATAATATGATAATTTTGTGATTTTTTAAAGATGAATAGTTATAATTTGATAAATATTACAAAATATTTATTAGTAGAATTTTTCTAATATTAATAATTTTAATTTAATGAGTATTCTTTGATAAATATATTTTTATATTTAAATATATGATTATGAGGTTTTATTAAAACGTGGATAGTTATAATCTAATAAGAATTACTAAATATTTGACTAATTATAAATAGTTTTAATTTAATGAACATTCTTAGGTGAATATAAGATTTGGTGTCCACTTATCATCTTCTCATAGGATAGAGACACACATGCGTACTTATAATACGACACATGCGCTTTGTGTACTTTCATGATATGATACATGTCAATTTTAATGTATTTATAAGTTCCACCAATTTCACTTTATATATAAAGAAGGGATAATAAAAGTTAGATATCAATCAACATATTATGCAGAGTATGATCATTTTTTCCAGCTAGATTGTCACTTATTATTTTCTTTACTACATGAGAAATCAAGGTTTATTTTTTATATTTTAAATTTCAAATTTTCAATGTCATGGACAACTCCAATCATTTAAAGCGGTAAAAATCCACCGGCCACTAATTTCAGCGAACTAACCAACTTATACAATGAATGCTTTAATTTAGGTTACATACTTAAATAATTCAAATTCCCAATGTAGTCAACTCCCTAAGATAAATGATTGAAACAAAATCAAAACACACACAGATATTAATTATAGCAGGTGGTTTCTTTGATGTTAGTTCCTTAAATCTTCCATATTTAGAATTTAGTCCCTAAGTCATCGAAATTTCTATGAAGTCTCCCCTATTTTAATCTATTTCCAAATTAGTCCCTCAAATCACTGAAATTGCTATTAAGTCCCACAAACCAAGTTAATAACAAATTAGTCCCTAAACACAATAGCAAAAGTAGAGGTGGCAATTTGTGACCCGACATGCTGACCCGACCCAACCCGACCCGTTTATAAATGGGTGTCATTTTATGTGGGCCGGGTCATAATCAGGTTGACCCAAAGAACCTATCTATTAATCAGGTTATAAACGGGTCAACGCGTTGACCCGTTTACCTTTAACCTATTTACCATTGAACATTTAACATTCAAAATTTTTAAAAACACGCTCATAAAATATTAATACTTACAAACATTAATAAAATCTATAAATAACACACAACACTATCAAAATTTTGCAATTTTCATAAAACACCCTTAGAGGTTCGAAAATTGAAAAACATCCCGAAAAGTTAGAAATTTACGAAAAACCATGTGAATATCAAAACTTACGAAACAACAGAAATATATAAACTATAAACAACACTACGAAAATTTTTATAATTCAAAAAAAACTCTAAAAGTTTCAAAAACTACAAAATGCACCCTCAAAAAATAAAATTTATAAACACACCCGAGAAATATCAAAACCGAAAAACAATACTATAAAATTTTACAGAAATAACCCAAAGTAGAACTAGCAATAACATGGATAAATGTGAAGCAACTTAGGAGAAATGGAGGACCTACAGAAATTTCAATTATTTGATAGACTAATCTCTGTTAATTGCTATTTCAACTCTTAATTAAAGGGAATTAATTTCAAAATAATTTAAAATTTGAGAGACCTAATAGAAATTTCATTGATTTGCTAGACTAATTTTAAAACAATTTAAGAATTAAGGAATTTAATAGCAATTTCAATGATTTGAGGGACGGATTCAAAATATGGAAGATGTAAGGGACTACACGATCGAAAGCACTCTCTCTCCGTAACCAATCATCCATAATATCAAATAAATCATTTTCTTCTTTGTCAAATTTACCAATAAACCATCCTGAAATAGCTGACCAAGACCGGGTCAGACAAACAAACTAAACCAACCTCAACAGGGACCCACAACTTTAAGCTCAAAGGGTAATAAATCTCTCATTCCCGAAATCAATAATTAATGCCATCAAATCCTACTCCAGCTGGCACTCAGCGAAATATCACGCCGCCACAACAGCAACATGGCAAACAGAACCACACAACAAACTTTTTTTAATGATGATTTTCTCCACACACCCCCAGATCAACTATATTTGCAAAATTTAACCGCCAAATCTGGATATTTAATAATTTAACCCTCCATTCCACCAAACTGAGCTAAACTACCCTCCCACGAGTTATATTGAGTAATACATCCAAGACAATAATAACCTTTTCGTCAGCGGTTTAGCTGAAACTTCCCCCGGTTCGGCGTTCCATAGTTCAAAATGAAAAAGTTTTTTTTTTATGATAATAGTCCGTTAAATCTTTAATATTTCGACTTAGCTCCTCAGATATTATTATTTGATAATATAGGTCGGCGAGCGCTCAAAGCATCAAAATTTGCCACTAGGTCCCTTACTTCTTGAAAGATGTTTCAAAATTATCCATCCGATTAACAGCAGCGGCAGCAAGATATAGGAACGGGAGGACCTAATTGCAATTTTAGTGATCCCAGAGGCTAATTTCACAATTAGGTTTGAGGATACTTCAGCTCAATGTGTTCTGGGGCTCTAATTACGCAAAAAAAAAAGAAAAAAAAAATCTCGTAAAAGCATGACCACGTGCTAAAGGAGAAACAAATCCATGAATCCTCACCGGATTAAAGCCAACAAGCAGCGAACCGATCCGATTCATCTCCGAACCTCCGCCGGCAAATAACCGGTCGAAGGAGCTGAACGCCGGCGAAATGGGGACCGCTTCCTTGTAGAGGAAGGCGAGGGGGAGGGCGACGGCGGTGAAGAAGAGCGCCGCCTTCAGCCACCTCTGGGCCGCGCTGTGATCGGCGAGAGGCGAGGTCGTCATTTTTAATAGAGGGGGGAGGGGGGAGCCAGGGTTAAGTTGGGGTTTTCGAAGTTTTGAGAGAAAAAGGAGAGAAATTGAGGAGTTTGGGATTTTTTGGGTAATTGTTGGAGGGGCCCGCGGAGACCCGCTGAAATTGACTGCAAAATGTGGATTATTTCTCGTGACAGAATCGTAACGAGAAAATATGAATTTTGATGGACCGTACATGTTAGTGTTCTTTATTGTTGCTTGGTATATACGTGTTCTCTACTACTGGTGAGCCAAAATTTAGACCACCTCACTAATTACTAGCTAGGTTTCGATGCATCACTTATATTGATAAGTTGATGGAAATCTTTAGATAAAGTTTAAAAATAATCAAGAATATACATAATAGAATCTTAAATTTTTCGTCGTCTTTGATACAAATTACAACGACTTTAATTTTAGGAGAGAAAAAGAGGATCTCAACCTATTTTTACCTTATATATGGTTATACATATGAATTTACAACCAAATTGTACCTATCTGACCATGAATTTATTCTCCTTATTAAGATCTTATTTTTTAAAAAATGGTAAAAGTAATAAGAAGTATTTCTAACTTCCTGCTTAATTTTTCTCCCCCCCCTCTCTCTCTCTCGAACATCAGTCTGATGTCAAAGGATAATGCCCACGTGCAATTAAATGATGGGTCCTATTAGAAAAGACATTCAACCGTGACAACTTTATTTTGCAGCAAAAGATAATCCTATGGAAACTTGCTACAGAAAATTAGAAAATTAGAGAAGACTAAACATTCTCCTAAATTAACTACAAGCCAAAGGCGGCAAGAAAGAGATTTAGAAAATTAGACCAGACTAAATATGGACAAATTTTCATAACCAACCTATTTTGAATTTTATTCCTAAAAACAGACTCATTTCAAACTTAATTTCAAAAAACAGACCCAGTTGACTAAATCTGGGTCCGTTTTTGAAAAAAAAGTTCCCAAACTTCACGGGAGTTGAAATCCCGTGAAGTTTTTTTTATATAACAAAACTTCACGGGACTTCAACTCCCGTGAAGTTTGAGAATTTTTTTTTTAAAAAACCGATATAGTTTCTGTCCAACTAAGTCGGTTTTTGAAATTAAGTTTGAAACATGTTTTTTTTTGGGAATTTTTTTGGCAAATAAGTTGGGTTTGAAAATTTGTCCTACTAAATATTCTCCTAAATTAACTAGTGCGTGGGGGCACGTCGGCGGCCGCCAGAGCGGAGCCGTAGAATATTCAAGAGGGGAAGGGGGTAATTGACTAATCAAGGAAAACAAATATTTTAGAAAAAAATCAAATGCTTTTTATTGAACGACTTATCTATAAGATCCTAAATAATGCGGATGCAATATTCTTCACGCTTCTGTCGACATTATTTTTCTTCAACTTAAGTATTTGGTCTTAATTAGGACAAAATCAGAGGAAGGTAAAGGATCAACATCAAATAATTTGACATTAATAATTAACTAGTATCTCATTACGATATGATGGTAGATAAAGTCTTATTGTTTAAATTTGATTTAATTATTTTAATTAATTAGGTAGATGTTTCCATCTTCTCCTCTTCAGAGGAAAACTTTCCTCTCGACAAACAGTCCATGTTGTGGCTCGCAGCTAATATCTAGACAGGCATAAGCAAAGCTCTTCTAGAACAAGGCAATTCCTCATGGACTGTTACCATCCGTGGACAAGGGGCTTATTTGCATTTTAATACCTCAAAGTTTCACTCTTGCTAATTTTGATATCTCGAATTTCTGTTTTTTACAATTTTGGTACCCCCCCCAATCTGAAAAACATGAAACTTACAGGAAGGTCGCAGCTAATATCTAGACAGGCATAAGCAAAGCTCTTCTAGAACAAGGCAATTCCTCATGGACTGTTACCATCCGTGGACAAGGGGCTTATTTGCATTTTAATACCTCAAAGTTTCACTCTTGCTAATTTTGATATCTCGAATTTCTGTTTTTTACAATTTTGGTACCCCCCCCAATCTGAAAAACATGAAACTTACAGGAAGGAAATCTTAAACCCAAAGCTTCGCCCTCATTTATTTTTAAACTCAGCTTACTTCTACATGTACCTGTATACCCAAAAAAACTTTCTTTGTTATCTTTAAGCCCAAAACATCTAAGTGCTAACCACAAGGGTTGGATGTTAACATGAATTTCCAAATTTTCACTTGCACGTGATTTTGAACTATTACCATTCTCCCAAGAGATCATATGAAAAGTGGTCACTTCCTCTAGACAGAAATTTTCCTTTTTCTTTTCCCCCCACCATTTCCTTTTTCACAGTTAGATAATACAACAAAATCTCTACAAATCATAACAATGGGAATATAATTCCTCACACATGTTTTTGTTCTTGTATGCATACAACAAAAGCCCAAGCAGCGCTAATCTCTACCTCTGCGTTATAACGAAGGACTGATTAGCGATCTCCCATACGCCATAGGCAGGGTCACTAGCTTCTTGGTTTTGCTTACATACGCCCTTTTCGTGAAGTTGTCGTAACCGTTTGCTTCAATCTCGTCAAGAATTTCCCGATACAAGTACAGAGAAGCATAAACCTGCGAGAAACCATGAACAAAGAGTATGCCAATTAGTCCATAAGTTCGTAGTAGTAAAAAAAAAGTTCGAATTCAAACAAAAACTTCGGATCTCTATGTTTTGATTTTGTTCTCCATCTTCTTAGTTAGGGTTAATTGCTCATAGATCCTCTGTAGAATCGTCGTTTCATGTTTACTACCCTGTAGTTTTGCTGCAGATAGATTAAAGTTTTTGGACCGTGTTACTTGATGAAATTTTGGCAGATACGGCCTCTGGGTGAAATTAGTGAGTCTAGCTAAGGGGAAAAGAGTCCAAAAAATTAATCCAGGGGTCTATCTGCAACAATGAAACTACATGGGTATTAAGCTCAAGATAGTGATACCGCGTGGAGTCTTTGTTCAATTAACCATTTTATTTAACCATCTGCCAAGAAATATGTCCAGTTAGTATATCAGTATCAATATTTAATTTACCCAGAAAATGAAAAGAGCATACTAGTGTCAAACAAATCCAAGCAATTCCGGTGACAAACAAAAAAATTGGCCATGGAGAGAATAACTGAAGCAATGTCCAAATACAACATAGGTCTGTGTCTTATTAATAGATCATAAGCTTAACTAGTGAACCTATAGAGCACAATCAGCGAAGTCACCAAGCCAATAGTTTTAAATCTCCTCTATCCAACATTGCAGTTTTAACCAATTGATTAATAATATTAGTGTTACGTTGGGGTGTTTAAGGTATAGGTTGGTGGATATATATGCTTTCAATGTGGGGCTAAACAAACTTGCCAGATACCAAATTATCTTACCGGCCATTTACTAGCTTGACTGAGCTCGCCCACTCCTTTCTCCGCTTCATGAAAGTACATCCTTGCCCTTGTAATTTGGTCCTTCATGAATTTCCTCCACTTATCAGTCACTTTTCCATTAAACACATCCTCTTCTGAAAGGCCCGCTTGTGCAAGTTCATCTTGCGGCAAATAAATCCTTCCCCTTCTTGCACTGAATCATAAATCAGCAATAACTTATAAGTTTACAATAATCGAATATTATTGAGGCTAAGAACAAAAGAGAGGTTTTTGGTGAATCTTTACTTACTCTTCACCAACATCCCGAAGTATGTTTGTTAGCTGGTTTGCAATTCCTAAAGCCAAAGCAGCGTTATAGACGCTCTCAGTTGTCGCCTGAGACTCTGGTGCAATCCCCATTACAGGAACACTTATTAATCCTACAGTTCCGGCTACATAATAGCAATAGAGATAAAGCTCATCAAAGTTATTGTATCTAGACTTCTTGAGATCCATCCTCATTCCTTTGATCATGTCCTTGAATGGCTGAAAAAAACAAATACAGGATCCATACATGAGGAATATTTAAGCTGACACAGTATTATATTATTTTTCATATTTAGCTGTGATTGGTTCTGTGGCCTTGCAAAGGTAGAGGAGAGAAAGGAGAGCGAAAAAGTTACGTCCCTTTCTTGGCGATATAAAAGAACTACAGAGGTAAATAACTTCCTAGACAAATAGCAGGGGTAGTTTGAACAACAGTTTCTTCCATGTAGGGGTGCTAATCCGTATCCGTATATGAGGAAATATCCGTAACCGTATCCGTTAGGATACGGATATAGATTACTCAAATCTATAACCGATATGATATGGTTACAGATATGGTTTTGTAATGAAATATTTGTATCCATATTCGAAATATCCGAATACATATTAGTCATACTCTTACGATAGTTTTGATTCTTCAATTATGGAATTGTGCTTAATTTTGATGATCAATATATCTAATCTTACCTTTTTAGTTATAATGAACATATTAACGACCTCTTTTGTATCACATGAACTATGTTGTTCTCAATACTATCTACTTTTCTCATATCCGTTTTGTATATGCATGCATATCCTCTTATATCCGCATCTATATCCGTAACCGTATCTGATTTTAGCGGATATGGATATGAATTTTCCATATCCGTATCCGTATCCGAGATGGGTAAGCAGACATGGATATGATAAGCATCATATCCGAGCCATATCCGGACCGAATGCACCCCCCTACTTCCATGTCAAAGAAAAATTTTCACTGATTCATATGAAACCATGATTTCTTTCCTTGTCATTTTTTTCGCCTTGACTATGTTCCTCACTCGTTCCCATTGATCAACATGCACAGAAAGGTTGCCTTAGTTTTCATAGCTAAGTTCACTTTCGAAAAAGTATACTACAAGAAGCAAAGATTTTTCTTTGTCGTAAGTGATAAAATAAAGTGAGAAAGTGTGTTGCTGTATTAATGATAAGATCAAGAAGACACAGCAAAATCTAGTTGCATAATCCTATACAACTTTCTGATACCAATGATGGTTGTCTGACAGGTATTCATCAGGTCATTGAAAGACCAACAAAAAGAAAGCTAATATGATGGATAGCAAAGCTAATGAACATGTTGAGGTAGTAAGATTTTATCAAATTTGTAGGAGAAACATACCTGAATATCAACTGGAAACTTTCTGACAGTATCAGATAGGGCAGCATCAAACATGTCATAGGGCCGACCAGCAAAAAGGTCCTCCAATCTTGACTCCCAACGGTCAAGAGCTGAAGTTGTGATATGAGATGCATTGGGTCCATCTACAAGCTCATCTGTCCTCCTACACCACACTACACATAAAATATGTATTACGATATACTGGAGAAAATTACTGGACTATGTCAAGGCAAAATTCAAATGCTAGAATGAATTATGAACTGAAGTTAGCTTTGAAATGCCTTGTTTTGTTTGTCTAGAATTTATTAACCATTATGTTTTTCTTCCACGAATATATAGGAAGTTATGCCGTCGAGAAATAGCTTGATGAAGGGATCCTTTTGCTTGTGAAAGAGTATATGGAAACACTAACAATTGCACGAACATTTCAGAATAAATTTTACAAAACCCCACTTTGTGTTGTGTCACTTGTGTGGCATAAAATTCCTCCAAACCTTATTAAGTTAAAAAATCCCCTGAACTTTAAAGTTCTACAAAACCCCACTGCACTACTAGAAATTGCCATAGCAGATTTAAACATGTGGGGTCCATCATTACCCAAAAAACTTTTCTCAAGAAAAGAAAAAAGAATGTAAGAATAAAATTGCCCAGAGAGCGTCATGTGATGTGACTACTTAGACTAACTTCCCTTAGTCATGGTATTTACGGTCAACAAAGTTCAAGGATTTTTGGCAAAACAACAATCGTTCATGGGGGTTTATGAAATTCACACTTACTTTATAAAAAAATGATAAATCGTCTTTTACTATTGAATCTCCAGAACTTAATGGTAATTGAGTGATTTTTCTTCAACACATAGAGCCATATTCATCACACGAATTCAGGCTTAGCAGATGAGCTGGCAATTCAGGAGCCTACCAAAGCGATAGGATAAACCAGTAGATATAAGAGTCGTGCTCCACATGAGAGGAGTTATAGCTTGTGATTGGAGTTATAGCTTGTGATTCCTGATGGTGACTTTACGCATATAGCATTCTAGATCGATATCACATCTTCTGTTTGGTATCTGCTGAAAATTACAGCAGATAGCCGATTAATGCTTTATGATATTCAAAGTTCGATGTTTAATTTATGCATGATGTAATTGTTTTTATTTTTTCTTTTCTGAACAGTGGTATTATTGCTTATTTCACATTGTGATTTGTATTTTAATTGGACAAGTAGATAAGATGCTTTACGTTTCTTCACCTCAGACATGCAGATCAAGATCTTATTAAATAATAGGATTGGCAGCATAATTCAACCAGATATCACATGTGTTGCTATTATTTAAAATATTGAATTCTTCAGAGGAACATTTCTTCATTAATAGACCAATAAACAAAGAAGGATAAAGAAACTTGCTCACTTCATAATTATTGCTAATTATTGTAAGATAAACATATACTCCAGAAAGAAGACTTCTTATTCTAGTATGTCTTTCCCTTCCGAGCAAACTACCTATGAGGTTAAAATTTGGTATCTTTTTTCTGATTTGAACACAAAATTTTCTCTCTCCTAGGTAAAGGAATATACTGTTATATTGCCAACAGTTTCCCAAAAAAACACAATTAGCTTGTGGCTGCCTATCCCATTAGAGTTTGATTCATGAACTTAGAATTTGCTTCGAAAGACTTATTAGATTCAGTTCATGATAATCAATTGAAAATTTGAACATATGGGAACACTTCATGCAAAAAAGGTTTAATTTCATCTCTCCTAGGTAAAGGAATATACTGTTATATTGCCAACAGTTCCCCCCAAAAAAACAAAATTAGCTTGTGGCTGCCTATCCTATTAGAGTTTGATTCATGAAGTTAGAATTTGCTTCAAAAGACATATTAGATTCAGTTCATGATAATCAATTGAAATTTTGAACATATGGGAACACTTCATGCAAAAAGGTTTAATTTCATCTCTCCTAGGTAAAGGAATATACTGTTATATTGCCAACAGTTCCCCCAAAAAAACAAAATTAGTTTGTGGCTGCCTATCCTATTAGAGTTTGATTCACAAAGTTAGAATTTGCTTCAAAAGACATATTAGATTCAGTTCATGATAATCAATTGAAATTTTGAACATATAGGAACACTTAATGCTAAAAAAGGTTTAATTTTATCTCTCATAGGTAAAGGAATATACTGTTATATTGCCAACAGTTCCCCAAAAAAAAACAAAATTAGCTTGTGGCTGCCTATGCTATTAGACTTTGATTCACGAAGTTAGAATTTGCTTCAAAAGACATATTAGATTCAATTCATGATAATCAATTGAAATTTTGAACATATGGTAACACACTGTTGGGGAATTTTAGTCTCTCCGCCTACTACGATCTCCGCAACTCGGAAGCCAACCCCACAATCAAGATATAAAACAACGACAATCAAGAAGAAAAACACCGAGATCTACGTGGTTCGGTAAACCAACTTCGACCTACATCCACAAGGCAACAGTACGAGAAATCAACTATGTATCAGGGAGAACCACAAGAGGAACCACTCAACGCTCGTCTCTCAATCTCTCAACTTCACGTACATAATCAACTCTCATATTCTCTCCAAAACCCATTCCGTATAATCTTTTGAACGGATAAAGATTGTGAAATCATCTTCTAATGTTGTAATCTTTTACACGGACAAAGTCTACGAAACTCTCGTCTCTCGCACAATATTCTTGAATCAGACTATCCCCTCTGCTAACCCTAGATTACAAGAATATTGGCTCTCTTCTTTCCTTGATTTTTCCTCCAACAATAGAAGAATATATATAGGAAAACAAAAACATTATCTCTAACCTAACTTCCTAATTAGAATATGATTCAATCTCCTAATCATGACGAGACCAAGTCTCCTAATCATGATAGATCTTTAAGCCTATCTAATTCTCATGAAGTTATACAAAGAATCAAAGACTCAATCCCAGCAAACAATTCATGCAAAAAAGTTTAATTTTATATAAAAATCCATATAGATTAACTTCCAAGCTGCTAGCATATAGGATGGTGTTCAGTGCTCACCATAGATTGCCCAGATGGCCTTCCTCCTTTCAGGGGTCATAAGCAGTGTTCCTGACAAAAGCAAAGTAAAACTTTAGATCATAAAACAATGCCCAATTATATAATTATACACCAAAAAATAACAGATTAAAGAGCTAACCCAAATAAAAGGTCTTGGCATACTCAGCACAAACTTCGCGACATCGATCATAAGCTTCCTTCATCAAGTCCATTGATCCAGGAACAGCCAACTCAGGATTCACATCAGTAGCAACGTTAGAACTCAGCTGCTCCCTAACTAGAGCAGCTTGCTTAAGGACCACATCATACACTTTTTCCTCAGAAGATATTGCAATTTCGCCATCTGGGTTGGCTACCAATGTAGCTAGCAAAGGGAAACCATCAGCACCACTTCCACTCGCAGTGCTCACTTGGGCGGCAGTCTTTGAATCTGTGTAAATTGAGAACGCTCTCAAAATGGGTTTTTTCCTCTGAGTTCTCCTGAGCAATCCAAGCCTCCCTTCTTTAACCTCAGATGACCCGAGCTTAGCAAAGAACTCCACCGGTGAAACAACCCATTGCATTTGTGCTGCCATTTTCAAAAACTCAGAGCTCTTGTAGGCAAAATCTCAAACAATTGGGCTCCTTCAAAAACAAACAGAGACGTTAAACTTCGCTGAAATTGAAAGAAACACGGAACCCCTTTGCTCAATTGAATAAAAAAACCTCACCTTTCTCTATCAAGAGAAGAGTTAACGAAATGGGTCTTCAATTATGAAGCGAGTTAAAGAGTGTTGGGAACTCTCGCACCAATTTTATACCCACAAACTCAGTGGTCTATACACTTATACCTAACATTGTGAATATAAAATGCGACCGGAAATAAATGCATGGAGCAGACCGAGCCCACCGCACCTCATCTGCTCAGTGCAGTGCTCAATCTCCGTCATCCACACAAAAAATATAGTTCATTTTTCGCCACTCATTTTCCAAATTGAGAGCGCAAAAGCTCTTTTTGCCGTATCAATAAAAGCAAAAATAGAAGGAAAAAGGGCTCCCTTTTTCTTGTCTGACACATGTAGAGCACAATCGACATTCGGAGCGGGGGGGGGGGGGGGGGGGGCGGGCGACCGTTAAAAAGCGGAGCAAACCTTGAGCTCTTAAAAAAAAATTATTCACAAACCCAAATATTTATTGCTGAATTTTAAGAGTTTTTTTGTACTAGTCCTTTGCATCTTTAATAATTTGAAATAGCTCCCTTATATAATTGAAATGGCTATTAGAGCATCTCCAACCGCTTTCCCATTTCCTACTTTTGGAGAATTTAGTTAGGTTTTTGGTCCAACAGATTCCCCATCTCATTCTCCAAAATAGGGATGAAGGAGAAAAAATGGGGAAGCTTCCCCAAATCTGCAGCATTCTCTAAATTTTTGGAGGAAAAAATGGATTCTTCAAAATGGTGAAGCTGTTGGAGTTGGTGTAAAAATAATTTGGAGAATATGATTTTTGCTTCCCCATTTTGAAGAAAATTTTGGAGAAACTGTTGGAGATGCCCTTAGATCCCTTAATTCTTTGATTTAATAAGAATTAAAGGATCTAATAGCAATTTGTGGGGCTAGTTTGGAACAAGTCACTAAAATTGGGAACTAATTGCAATTTTGATTTGGGGACTAGTTTTTAATTACTACATATTTAAGGAGTATCGAAAATACCTTATTTTTACACCTATTTTCTGTTTCAAAAACTTATATCTAAGTTGTTAAATTTGATGTTCAGATAGTTATATTTGAATCTAAATTATTATGTTTGATATATTAACAATTATATTTCAACTTAAGTTGCAATAGTCGATTAAAAAATATTTTAGGGTGAGAGTATTTTAGATTTAAAAATGATTATGGATGCTAGCGGGTCAAAAAAAATTTGAATAAAATTTTTGGTGTATAAAAAACTCAGAAAATCTAAGAAATAATAAAAAAAAGGGGTAGTCTACATATTAGTCCTCAATTCTTCAAAAAATTTATATTTACTTCAAATCTTTGGAATTGTTCACAAGTGCCTCATATCCTGAGAGATCTTGCAATTTGTATCCCTCAATGCCTAAATACACAGTCTGTTTAGTAACAACACTTCATTTCAAATATTGTATTTGGCCCAATTCTATTGTTTAGATTCAAACGAATTTGAATACTGGATATTAGCCCAAATCGTATAACATTTTAAACATATAGTAGATCTAGAATTCTAAATCTCAACCATACCTTGTCATCTACAATTCCGCTCATTTCTTCTCTCAACCCAAATGCACTCGCGATCTCTCTCTCTCAGCTACCACTCTCTCTCTCTCTCTCTCTCTCTCTCTCTCTCTCTTTCTCTCTGCGTGCGTGTGTGTGCGCCCCACCCCCAACTTCAGCTCTCAATCATTGTCTCAACCGACAAGCCCTAATCTTACCAATGACGACGACAACGATCCAATTTTACCTGCAAGCCCTAATCTCACCTCCGACGACGATGACAATCATCAAAGACGGTGAGAACCTTCCATCCTCTATCTCCAATTTCATTGAAACCCTAAATTCTAAATTCGAACTCTATTCTCTCGATGGATTTCTCTACCGAGCTCCCTCTCAATCCTCTCCAGTTCCATTGAAACCCTAACCTAGATAAAAATTGAGATTTTGGGATTTAAGTTTTCACCTCTTTTCTCTTCTTCTATATGTCAATTTTGGTTCTCTTCTTTTTCTTGGATCTGGTAATGGATTTCAAAATTTTGGGTTAATGTTAGGCTTGGTCTGAATTCTTTTTATTTTGTTTTTTCGATTTGCATGTTACTGTCAGCGAGTTGCTGGAGGAGATTCAAGCAAGAATTATATTGAAGTAGTAAATTTGGGAATTTGAAAAGAAAATTTAGGAAAAATTTATGATGGAATTGCTTGTTGTTGTTAAAGAAGCATGATTCTCATACATGAGAATCATGACAAATACTTTATATTATGTTTCTTGATAGTTAGTCGTAGTTTATAATCCCAGGAGCTTTATGCAATGTAGAAGGTAATTCATGTCGTTCGAGGGATTGCTCTTTGCTATTTTAGGTTTTCTTTCTTGCGCCTTTTGAATGTAATTTACAATTCACATCTAGAATTAGAAAAGCCTATCATGCTGATCAATAAGTTGATATGGTTAAGCTTGGAAAGGATTGCTTTTAAGTAAATATACGACCTATGTGATTTTCTTTGTATCAATTAAATACATAATGTTGTATACGTGATCATATGTTAATTACTCTGTTTGACAAGATAAATGTCTAGATATCCTTGAGTACATCTATAAATGTTGGATTCCGGTAGGCGTATGGGTTTGAGCAAGGTTATAGTACAATAACCGATCTTAGAACTTTACAATAACTTGATATATGAAAGTTTTCATTAGCTTTACGAAAGCATTGATGGGCTCCTCGACTAAAAGGTAGTGTGTTGGTTTGATAAAAGGTGATGTGTTGGTTTGATAAAAGGTAGTGTGTTGCTCACATTTACTCCATTTTACATGGTTTGATTCTATTTTTTAAATAATCATTTGTTTATTTTATTATAGGAAAAAATGTGTTCAGGTCCCAAAAGCAGAAACTTCATGTGACGAGACCATTTGTATTCTACCCCATGTGGATAAGCCACAAAAAGTGACGTTTAATGTGACAAGGCCCTTCCACGTCAGAAATATACTAAAAGCAGATTGTATTTTACCAAAAACCCGAACTTGCCCTTCCCATTCTTCCCCAGACGATGACTCGTCCCCAAAAGCTACAGTATTCACTTCTCATTAATGCGATATGATGGAAGAAATGGAGGGAAAGTTCCCCCTTTTTTTACACTGTCATGAGCAATAACTATTTAGTTCTCCATTACTCCTCCTCAGACGAAAATTCTCTCCATTACTCTCTCTATTACTCCCACTTATCCTAAAATTTGATCCATTACTCTTACCTTTCCTTCATAATGGCTGAGAATGACATCATCTGCATTGTCTCTTCGGGGTATAAAGCAGTATTCATGAAGATTAACTCTTCAATCACCATTCTGGACCTCAAATTTGATGTGTCAGAGAGGTTAGATCTTCCATATGATTCATTAAGTTTGTCATACAAAGATGAAACAAATGGAAGCTTTAAATGTCCTATTAAGAACGAGGGGGGTCTGTCATCTATTGTGGAGCATTGCCACAATCTTGGACTAAAAGAGGTTCACATGCAAGCTAATAAAGAAGCAGATGATGCTTCTTCAAATATCCAAAAAACGAGCAAGTTCGACAAGACACGTAGGTTATTGGGTTTTTTGATGTTAAGATCAATATTTATGTCGTGGTAACCTCACCATCCCTTGGCTTGTTCCCATACATGATAGTTATGATAACCTTACGACTCTCTGTTGACCCTCACTCCTTTATATATGTAACTCAAGTTCTAGTGTAAGCGTTGGTTCTGTTGCCTTTGTCAGTGCTAGCTGGGATAATGTTGGTTCTATCTGTTGTGGGGTCAGTTCTAGCTGCATTTATATTAGTTCTACCCTCAGCTAGCGCTAGTTATAGCGTAAGCATTGATTTTATTATCTTTGTTAGTCCTAGCCTCGATAATGTTAGTCCTAACAGTTATGGCGTCAGTCCTAACTGATATCGTGTTGGTTCTGCCTCCAGCTAACTCAAGTTCTAGTGTAAACGCTGGTTCTGTTTCCTTTGTTAGTGCTAGCTGGGATAATGTTGGTTCTAGCTGTTGTGGGGTTTGTTCTACTATTTGTGTAGTTTATGATTAATTGTTTATGTTCTTAATATTTACAGCGCTTCCAGCGTTTGAACTCAAAAAGTATAGACTATGGCCCACCATTGTCGAAGACCACATATGTTTCAGATAGGATTCCCAATGACAATCCTTCTGGAGATAATGTTTTGATGTCTGATGACATGATTAACAGAACAGAGAGGCTTCCTGCTTGGTGGCACACTGCGTTAACCGGTAAGGGACAACGGTTTGAAAGTGCGAAGGAATTAAGATTGGCATTGTTATACTACTCCATGGAAAAAAAATTCGAGTACGAGTTTGGAAAGAATGAACCGAAGTGTATTCGAGTTTTTTGTCGGTTTAAGGAAGCCAAAAATTATCCGTGGATGTTATTTGCCTCTCCACCTAAAGATGAAAATAGACTTGAAATCAAAATGTTCGTGGACAATCACACTTGTGGGCAGCATGACAATAATGCATGTCAATCTAGGGCCTCTCGACAATTCATTATGACCCAATTACAACCCATGTTAAAGATCCGACCGGATATACGACATGTTGACGTACAAAAAGAGTTTTTAAGTTCGTATGGGTTTAGGGTCGATTATAGTAAGATATGGTGGGGGTAAAGAAAGAGCACAAGAGAAATTATATGACGATACCCATGAGTCCTACGATCAATTACGATGGTAAAAAGAAGATATTAGCTACAATATACAAACTAATTTCATTCATGTGATGCTGTTTGTTTTTACGAAATTTCTTAATGTTGATCCTAACACTTAATCTTCAATTTTCTAGGTATGTAGAAGAGGTTAAGAAGACAAACCCAGGTAGCTACATTCATGTTGAACAACGTGAGGGGAGGTTTACAAGGCTATTCATTTGCTACGCCGCCTGCATAAATGGATTTTTGCACGGATGTAGACCGCTTATATTTTTAGATGGTATCTTTCTAAAAGGTCGATTCAAAGGTATACTCCTCAGCGCCGTAGCATATGGTGGAAATCGGGGGATATTTCTATTAGCCTATTGCATATGTGATCAAGAAAATAACATTAACTGGAAGTGGTTCTTACAAGGTTAGTTCTATCCTGAGCCATGTTAGTTTTATTGCAGATCATGATAGTTCTAACTCATTCCTTGTTAATTCTAACTTCGTGTCTGTTAACTACAACACTTTATAGGCTTGTGGTCTATTCTTTATGAAAGGTCAGATCCAT